TGGTACTATTTCCTTTATATAAAGAAGGAAAGTGAAGCTCAGGGATAGTAAGTAACTTGCCCAGAGTTATATCACAAGTAAGTAGTGGAACAGCATCAACTGTTGATTACAATGAAACTCTGACAAATTAAAACTGGCTTTAATGCTGGGTGCTGGTGGTTCACATCTATAATCCTAGCTACTCAGGAGGCTAAGATCAGAGGATCACGGTTCAAAGCCAGCCTGGGCAAGAAAGCCTATGAAACGTCTATCTCCAATAAATTACAAAACAAAACAGAAGTGGAGATGTGGCTCAAGTGGTAGAGTGCTAGCCTTGAGTGAAAGTAGCACAGGAGCAGAGCCCAAGCCCCAAGTCTCAGGACTGACATCATCATCATCATCATCATCATCATCATCATGACACTAGTTATCTTTTATACAAAAATTATTCCTAATTTTTGGCGAGGGGATGCTGATTCTGGGGCTTGACCTCAGAGCCTGGGAGCTCTCCTATTTCCTTAAGACTGGTACTTTACTAGGCTAAAGTGGTCAATTGGAGATGAGTCTCATAGACTTTCCTGCCCAAGCTTACTTCAAACTTATATTCTCAGATCTTAGCCTCTTGAGTAGCTAGGATTACAGGTGTGAGCCGCCAGCACCTAGCTCTTTCACTGTGTGGTTTTGTCTGTATACTCACTGACTCTCTCTGTAAAATCCAGAGATTATCCAATGTATGGCTTTAAATAATGAGAACCATGTAAGTCCTTGAAAACACAAACAAAAAAAGAGAGAAAATCACAGACATCCAAAATCTGACAAATAGATTCTGCTTTATTCATACATTAAAAAAACATATCTGCTTGATAAGTCATCTGCTATTGCTTGACCTAGCAATGAACTGATGAAAGCAAAGGATTTGACAAATCCAGGTGTGTGTATAAAACATTTCTAAGGCATCCAAAGTGATTTCTGTTCTCCTCTTTCATGCCAGACAAAACATTTGGTCTAAAATGGTGTGTAATGACACTAGGCCACATTTAGAAATTGTGCTTAAGTATAGAAATTTTTTTAAAATACTGTAAGAATTAAATATACTCTCTCTCTCTCACTCTCACTCACACACACACACACACACACACACACACACACACACACACACACA